ATGAGACGGTAGACTTCCGGCCTAATTAGGACCACTCTGCCCGACCTAAATCAGATTAAGTAGATGTTTAAAATGATCCTCTTTGCTCATATTAAATCAACCTCCAGTCACATTCAGCTAGAGAAGAGCCACGCATTTCTCCTCCCCTCACTTCATCAGCTACACACACTTCATTATAATTCCCAGAGTAGCAAAGCTTCTACAATTCAAAGGACGCTGTCAGGTATCTGTTTGGTCATGTGTCTGCTTGTGTAATTGTCTTGTACTGATTTAATCCCCCCCCCCTCATCTTTCGCTGTAGTTTTTTTAATCTTTTCTTTTAAGACGACGAACAAACAAGACGTTGAAGTAAAGTGTGTTTGATCAAGTTCCGTGTCTCCATCTCTCCGCCGGTTTTTCCGCTCGCATAAGGCTTCCACGGAGCAAACGGTGTAAATAATGTTGATTCTGTGCCGAGCCCAGCTGGTGGTGCCCGGCACAGGGCATCGAGTGTCTGCTCTTAACAGTGGAGGTCTCTAAAAGGCCCTCTCTTCTGCCAACTGGGATCAGAGGGAGGGAGATCACATCGCGTTAATGGATGCAGCCGACCTGTGAACCTGTGTGATGTGCAGTCTGTTCACTTTTTTGTAATACGTGCAACGTCCGAGCATCATGCCGTTCCACGTAGCTCCAAGAAATAACAGCTCCATCAAAGCGGTGGAGAAGCAGGGCGCGATAACACCCAACTAAAGCGTGGAATACCAATACATTTATCTAAGAACAAATGAACTATTCTCCCGACGAAGTGCTTTAATAGTAATACATCAGCTAAAGGGCGCTGATGTATTGATGGACCAGCTTGAGTGAGAAGAATCTGCCGCAGTATGCCACCGCGTGAAAGCCAATTCTGACTTCCATTTGCCAAGTCTCCAAACCAAACGTGGAGGAACTGAATCCTTCTACAGTATGTGCTTCACACTTACACGCAGCGCAAAAAACAAACACACGCTTGTATGTAAACACGCACGGCAGAACACCTTCTAACCCGACCGTAGCCGCCGTCGAGCAGATTCCTCTGTTCCGTGCACCGCGTGGGAGGCTCCCACTCCACTCCCAGCAGAGCCTGTTAATTCAGCGACGTATCTGCTCCCTCCCTTCGTCTCGCCGCGTCCGCCCGTGCATCCCCTCTGCAGGCCGCTCCCCGCTTCTCTTACAGCGAGCGCAGCATCACTTATTCAAGATGTATGAACGTCGGGTAGAAAACGTACTGGCGTTCACAGTGAGAGTACTTTTTTTTTGTAATACTAGGAGAAAAAGCCACCCTGATATTTTTCAATCATTGTCATAATAACCTGTGGCGATGTAGGTTATTATGAACTGACCTGTACACAATGAAGATTGTGTACAGTGTGTGCGTTTACAGGTCAACCACACACACTGTTGATGATGATGATGAGGAGGAAAACCAACCGAATCATTGATCCGATGTCGCCTTTATGTAAATGCACACACACACACACACCCACACACACACACACACACACACACATTTTGTGCCACATGAAGGGATCCGTTTGGCAAAAGTAATTTTCCAGCACTGCTTGGATTGCAGATTCACAAATCATCGCTCACACGTCACAGGTGGAGAGTTTGCTTTGATACGTGAAATGTGTCACAGTTAACAGAAGAGAAAATGATCTTATATTGCAAGTGTATAGTGAAATGGAAGCCAGCATGTGTCATTTCGTGTCAAACGATTGTTTGTGGGTATTCACTTTGTATCCCATGTAGGAAAGGCTGGCTGACGGTAGAGAAAGATCGGGAGCAAAAACATTAGAGAAGTCATTCTTCATCATTCTCAATCATATTTGATCAAAAACAAAAATAACACAATCCATTATTTTTCCAACTCAGACTTATTGGCCTCGGATGATTTTCTGCAAAGAACATATATCAGACCACATTTTCATCGACCGCACACCGTAACCCCCCCACGTCCCCCCACAGAGTTGTCCTGGACGTGTCTCAGGGACTCAGTGGACGCTGATGTCTCATCACAGGAGCTGCTAAAGAGGAAGCTGACCATGTCGGGAACAACGAGGAAAAACAGGGCTGAGCTCCTCAATATTAACCATATTTGCTGTTTACCTTGCTTCTAATTGGGATGAAGTACACATCTGATGAGTACTTTCACATATGATTGTTTGGTTGTGTTGAATTAAAATCCCCCAAAATACACAAAACACCGGCTGAGTAGCAAAAGATGAACACCATACAAGGTTTAAGGATGTCTCAGCAATAACCGAAAGAAAATGTCACATTTGAAGATTCCCTTTTGTTTTGTCAGTACCTTTAGTATCCGTGAGTCTGTTTTGTTGACAATTACTTTGTGCTAGCATGCTTTTAAAAGTGTCCCATTGCAACTAAAGCGGTAACCCTATCATGTTGAACATATTACCCAAATAACAGCTCTCCACTAAAAAGAGAGTCATTATTACGAGCTATTACACCAGAATTGCAAAGTAGAACATTCCGCCCTTTGTTGTGGTAATTATGGCTTAATAAAATGTAGACATAAATGAAATGATGCAGATGTAAAAAATATCCGTCCCTAAAGCATTTTCGAGGCGTACGACTGGGAAACTATATTTTTTTTCCTCCCTTTTGCTCAATTAAATCCTAGTGAATTTAAAAGAATGGAAAATGCAGAAATACACATTTAAACCAAATAGCTCATTAGCTGCAGGGAATAATTATCCACAGATGGGATGAAAATCATCAGATTATCTATCCAGCCATCTATTTATTTATCTATCTATCATTAAACAGGTTGTGGAGCTATAACTGCTGTTAATTCAAGTAGAGATCAACACGGGTATTATTAAAAAAGTTGTCATAAACCCAACGAGATCCCACACACGCGTTCACACGCACACGTGTGAGCGCGAGGAGGGGCTTCTCGTTAAGCATCCCGCCCCCGAGAGGCGACGCTCGGCCTCGACCAGGCTCCCGAGTGTCACGGTGATTATACACTACCAGGCATTAACGCGAGCCAAGTGGCGTGATAAAACATCGCATGCACCTCTCAAAGCTTGTAACGCCGCCGCCCCCGTCTCTCCTGCTCGTTCCCCCTCGTCCTCATCCAATCGCCTCCTGTTGCTGCCATCTCACCCCCCCCCCCCCCCCCCCCATCCCTCCCCCACTCCCCCTCCTCCTCCTCCCATCTCAGTCAGTCAATCCTTCATGAAATCACAAGGTGACATGGATGGCGTTGTCCTGGTAACCACTGCTACAAAACTGTTGCCTGGTCACCGAGCACAAACAAGCCCGGTGCCCAGCAAGGCTTCTGTGTGGGAGAGAATGAGGAAAAAGGTGAGAGAGAGAGAGAGAGAGAGAGAGAGAGAGAGAGAGAGAGAGAGAGAGAGAGAGAGACGGGAAATGAAAGGCTGGAAGGAAGGTCGCGAGGGGAAGGTCAGTGACTGGCTGCTGCAGGCCGCTTTGATTATATGGTACCCTTCAAGGTGGCTTTTCGGCCACGACCACGGTAGCATTCATATCGGGCAGATCTCTTAATTAATTAAATGCATTTGACTTGCAGAGAAGTCAATATTATCCGAATCCGTACCTTTATAATGTAGGTGTGTGCTATTGGTCAAATTCACCAGCAGAGCGGATACTATTAATACATTAATTTACCAATAAAGTGACAATGTTTTAATATCGGTTCTGGTGTTTCTCCATTGATGCGTTCTAAGAAATCCTCTTATGGCAAAATACGCTCAAGAATAAAATACATCACAGCTGGGATTCATAAAAATAGCACTCTAATGAAGTGCTTTATCAGGCTTGCAGTAGCCTTTGGACGCATTATTCATTATTTAACGTCGGTTCTAGTCCAGAGAGATATGTCAATACATAGTAAAGGATCTGACAAAAATGATTAATGCAATGCTAATAAATCAATTCAACATTCCCCACTAATACAATTTCCTGTGGAGGAAAACATGTATCAAGTTATTTAACCGCTTTGTGCATTGCATTAATCTTAGTGCATGTATACAGCAACTGCTTTGCTTGGGTTTGACACACGAGAACAATAATACACATACTGTTGTTTAAGGGAGATGAATATGATATTTTTATATCTACAGCTGTATTCGCTCTGTACGTTTATATAATGTGGGTTAAGGCTGTGACTTTTCAATAAAAAGCCTTAAGCATCCTTAAAGTATAAGATGAAAAGATAATTATTTAATTACGGACATTACTGATGCACCGTCTTAGCCGGCCAGAAGAAACAAAAGCTGGTTGAAAGAAGGAAAGAAATCCCGCTTGTTTTTCAAGGGAAAGGCGATACGAGGCAGGTGCAGTAAATTCACCGTTTACAACAACACCCAGAGAGGGACCTTGAATGTCCGTGAAGAACCCCATTCCCTTTTCCACTTTCAATTCACCTTATCACACAATTCTTTGGATGCCATCCTAAAAATCCAAGGCCATAATTTCCCATCCAATTTGTTCCCTCTCTCTCTCTGCATGAACACTGACAGATTGTCATATTTTGGCCACGCTCCCAGAGGAGAGTTGTGAGAGGCAGGAGGGTAGATAAACGGCTATTACCATTCACACTGCCTCATTACGGGGCATTTAGACCCATGAGCGGCGGCCCACGAGCAACACGGAGAGAGGACGTACATGCTGCTCCTGTGGCCCCCCACCCCCTCCCCCATCAAACCTCCAGGTGCACTGAAGCGTGGAGGTTTTTGATTGACAACTCGTGCTCATTCATTTACATTTTCTTGTTACATTCACAGTCACATTTGCTCCGTGAAGATCCCTCCGTGCGCGCGAGTGCTCGTACATCAAACCACCACAGGTTGCTGCGCCCGCTCGTACGCTTTCAGATTGACTCGGCCATTTTCCACGTAGCAGAATGAATTGCAGCTATAAAAATGTTTTTTTTTTGCTGGCACAGCATAACATTTGCATTACGTAAGCAGCATAAAACAGTTTCCGCCTACCGTCATGAATCCATCCAGCAGGCCCGAGTCCGGTTTAGGCGGAGCTTGCAGCCGCTCCATTGACCACTTCTCAATGATTGACGACACCTGAGAGTTTTCTGTGTTCAGTATGCGAAACCCAGTCATGTTGACTCCGCTGTAACGATACGGCTCCATGTCGAGGGCAAAAAGGTCCTGAATGCATAAAGACGAAAGTGTTTGAGCTGCAAAAATAATGAATTCGTCCTCTTTGCGCGTTCACCTTTTCCTCTCTCACCTGTCCTCAATGATCCACATCAGACATTTGAGTGGCAGCCTTACCGAGTAATTGCAGAGGGTATTCGCTATTTTATCTCGTGCTGAGGCAGCAGCCCTGATGAGGTCAATGTTTTCAAGGTTACGGGCCGGCTTTTGGTGGACTGCCATCTATCATGTGGGAGTGAAAGGACAACCCGATCGTCCTGCATATACAGCATGTCTGGCGTCTCACCAGGCAGATGTCTTTGGGATGCAACAACACAGTTGACAGAACAACAGCAGGTGATGGACGCAGGATGAGCTCGCCACGGTCAATGTTCTTTTGCCGTCCTACTCCTAAAGCCGAATGGATGGCTCGGCACCAGCATACGGGCGCTTTGGCCGGCACGGCGGCCTCCGACCGGGCCAAACACTGGCGGATGTTACCGTCGGCATGTTTCCACCCCGACAAGCGGCGGCATGGTACCGACAGAGGGCCCGAAATCGCCATTCTCTTTCTTTGCCAATGACACACCTGCTGTCACTCGCTTCCTTTTCATCTAGTCAGGTTCTTGTGAGGACGCACAGCGGGGGGGCGGGGTTCTTACGTGTCCTGTGCACCGGTCCACTCAGACCTTCCAAATGTGCTCCAAACAACACAGCATGCCATTTATTTTGTTAGCTATAATGGACCGAATGGGAGACGGTCTCATCTGCTCGGGGCTATTATCTGAGCATTCAGTCTTCTCTGGGCTCAGTAAAGATGCGCGGCTGTTGATCTGCAACCGAGCAAGCAATCTCTGCAGTGGTAAGATCAAAGAACTTTGGAGAACTTAATTTGCTGGCTGAGTCAGAATAAAACGTATCCAACTGTGTTTGTTTACTACACTCTGGGTTGTGGAAAGCCACATGGGGTGAGAAGGTTACTGAGGAATTGAGAAAACAAATTGAATTTAAACTTTCAGAACTGATCAAAATATATATATTTTATATATGTGTGATCAACTACATGACAATGAGTCATATTTTCATGGTTATTTATATTCTTTCTAGCACATATTTCAAGTTGTAGTTAAGGTTCATAATGCTTCAGACAAAAGAAAAGATAATAGCATGATTGTCTGAGTCATAATAAATTGTATTGTCACTTGACTGACAGCAAAAAGCAACGCAAAAAGTGCTGCAAAAATACTGAAAAAAACAAACAAGCCCAGATATTGCTGTAAAAAAAGTATAGTATTTAAAAAAAGAAGAGCCAGTTTACTCACCAGGGTAGTAAAAATATAATGGTAGTACTCTGTCATCATACCCATGGCCAGGGCCTGGAGGGACACAAGAACATCAAGCAGCAAGTGAATATAATAGATTTAGCGTTTAATGAATATGTGAAGATTCATTGAATTTTAATTCTTCATTTTGCCTGCAGTCTGTCTAGTCGGACCCTAATAAATATCTGAGAGTCCAGCGCTCTTTCAGTTGGTGATTTATTAAGAGAAACAATAAATTATCATGACACTTGTGGATAACAAACACAAGACATAATTGGAGTTATTGGTTAAAAAGGGACACCGTATTAACTTAAAACCAATAGTAAGAAGTGTGTCGAAAACCGTTTATTATTTGTTGTGCCTCCAAAGTATTCTCCATCAATCGCAGTCATTATTGCTGCAAACCAATAGACACACAGCTGAATTGATAAGCAGAATGCTTCTGAGAAGACTTCAGTCTAATAAGAACCCCCACTATTCTCATAAATAATGTCCCTTTGTAAAATGAATTTAACACGCCTCGGAGCGAAATTAGACTTTCTAATTAAAAACCTTTATTGTGCAATGGAGAGGTTCAATTATGACAGGTCAGCACTGGAGATCTAATATTGTAGAAAAAGACGAAGAAAGCAGAGAGCAGAAGGTAGGAATCTGAATCATTTGCATCAGTGGTTAAAGAGAGAAGGAATACTAGAGGGAAAACTATAACGTATGAGCTTATTGTTTCAGAGCATAGACATAATGAGTAAACTGAGTATTGAGTCTATGTTTCTATTAAGGGAAAATACGTACAATTTGGGGCTGAAGGTAACCGAGTTTTATTTTTTTATTCAGGATGCGCTCTGCTCTCCACTATTTACAATATGAATAGAATGGATCCCCAAACTGTTAAATATTAAACAAATAAATTACACATCATTATGAAGTGATACGTTTCATATTCAAATATTGTGTAAAATAGATGAATGAACAATGAGGTGTCAACATAGTTGTTATATGTTATATGATTAAGAAATGAAAAGTGACATTGTAAAAAAATACTTTTAACTCCTCTCAAACTCTCAAAAAAGTAATTATCAGAATAGGAGCAATTGATTGAATTCTAAAATCATACAGATTACCCTATATCAATTTAATAATAATGAATTAACTAATGAATTTTCACAACAACATTCTTTGGGGAACCCTAAACAATCCCAGGGTTTGTTTCTGCTGCGATGCATTTAGTTAGCTCTCCTGGCTCATTCAGCTGGCTTCATACCTGTTTGAGGATCCAGGCAGCCATCTCATGGCCACAATCGAAGATGACATGGAACTCCTTTGCCTTCTTCATCTCCTTCAGAAGTGGCTTGGCATCCTTGGTCTCCGTGGGCAGCTGTCGGATCTTCAAACGAATGTTGTATCGTGACGGCGCCTTGATCAGCTCCTGCAGTCGAATGAGACCTGCAGACAAAGAGGACACACAGCGTGAAAAAAGTCATTTTAAAGACGCAGCTATATGGCGTGTTTGATCTGCTGCCATTTTGAAGTATCCACGATGCTGAGGAGGCCGCAGAAAAACAACTGGATTCGGGTTTTCGCCGCAGAAAACGGCTCATATGCACGCCTTCCTAATCCACAGTCTATTGATCCTCCCACTCGTGCTTGGCAAGCAAACAGACTGCTACAGACCTATCAAGAGAATTAACACCAACCCAGCACATTGCACGCTTTTTATACCAAAAGCGCAAAATCCAAAGAACCGTGATCTGCACCCTCCTACAGCAACTCCCAATCCCATTGAAGACTCCAAAATGGAAATCTGCTCTTGTCTTCCACGCTACCAAACTGCATGGAATAGGTTCAATGTCACCCTGATGGAAAGCTGCGTTCAATGCCGCCTCACCGCTCTCTCTCTCTCCCTCTCTCTCTCTCTCTCTCGCACACTTCAGATGTGCTCTGATGAGAGAAAGCTCTGTTTGCCCAGCGTGAACTCGCCCCCCCCGGGGGGGGGAGCCGGACGCCACCGTCACATATTGAGCTACAATCTTCACCTTTCATTTCTCGGCCCGAACACTCGGGGAGAAAGCTCTCCGGGAGATACTGCGATGAGATTACAATGAGTTTCTCCCTCGGTAAAGAACTTTAGAGTGTGGGATGAAAGAGGCCGGATTGATGGGAGAGATGATTACTTGTCATGGGTATAAAAATGGATGGAGAGGTAGAGAGATAGGATTTTTTTTTTTGTGGAACCACTTTAGGGGAGCTCAGCCCTTTTTTTATGTTGAAATGAAGTGCTGTGTGAGCAGTTTAATGGTCTTACTGTGAGTGGGGCTGTGTCTCCCTGAGGCCTACAGAGGGATTGGTGTGAAATAGGAACAAGCAGGTCTTGTTGTAAACGGTACTATTGTAGGGAGGAATAGTAAGGCACCTGCAGCTTTCCTCAGGTAATCCCAATAGATTTTCACTCTATGTCCAAATATCCCTGTTTATGTCGGTACCGACACTTGGGGAGGTGTTAAGCAAGAAAAAAAAACAAAAAAACTGTCGAGGCGGCTCAGCGTTCAGGAAACACTGTCCTTGTCGATGTTTGTGGGCTCCGGCTAATGCCTTCAGACCCCCCCCCCCCGGATCTTCTAACGGCCGCGTGTGAATATTTTATCCCCCTTCCGATAGATTTTCCTGCCAGCCGTCAGATAGGCTCCAATCAGCGGCGCCGGGCCCTGGAGCATGAAGCTGTGTGATTACCGCCCGGGACCAGGTGGGAGCGGTGGGGGAAAACAACGCGGCTATGCAGCTGTCACACTTTTCGGTGGGGGGTGGGGGGGGGGGGGGGCGTCCGGGGTGCTGCAGCCCAAACCGCTCCCATCTGACAGCGGGAGAGAGAGAGAGAGAGAGAGAGAGGGAGAGAGACGCGAGGAGGTCACCTTTTTTGGCATCGCGCTGGGGCGATTTGCTGTAGAATGAGGGTGTTAACATACCGAGCTCCGAGGCAGGAAGTGACGAGAGGTCAAGGAGACGAGTGAGAATAATGTGACGAGTGGGACGAGTCGTCGGGGTGTGCAGTCCGAGGTTACTGTACAGGCGCTGGCCTGCTGCATTGCCCGTTATAGAGATGATGGAGGAGGCGACACAGCAGTAAAACTATCACGCTGCTTGTTAAAAGCCACACAAAAAGTTGTAAATTTCTATTTAGAGACCTCATTGAGGATGTCAACCCCAAGACAATATTCATTTGCAAGGGGGGGAATCCATCATGGGACCTGTCTAAAATGTAAACCTGCTCTCAACTCAGTCTAATTTGTCCACATGAAGCTGTCAAGCACATCATGCCAAATAGCCCGTAAATTGTGTTTGAGTGAATGAGCATTTGAATATTGTAATCTTCTCTGGAGCGATTACCCTCAAAAAGTATATCACTGCACTCAAGGTAAATTACGACTCGTTGTCTAAAATGCATATTATGAGCCTCTCGGCGGAGTCACACGAGACAGAGGACGGACCAAATGGCTCACAGACACGTTTGATAGCCGCCCTTAAGAAATCAAGTGTCTCTGTGTGTTATTAACGTCCGTTGTCAGCCCCCACATACCGCAGTCGTACGTTGCATTAATCTGAAGAGACACTGGGTCATTCTGGGTAATGCCGTTCTATTTATTTATTTTTTTTCTCCAGGCCTGCTGCTCACTCTCCTGGAAGACCGACATGGGCAGCACCTGCAGGACTGAGGCAGAACAGTAAGCTATTGATTTCTGAATTAACTCGACAGGTTACAAAACACTCCCTGAACTCTGTGCCGCGGAGCCTCTTTTGTAGTTCACCAAGTACCTCTGGTCTTTTTTTCTGGACATTATAAAGGTGTAAAGGCCCGAAGGTTTTAAAACAGCGTCACACTGAGCAGGAAAAAGAAAAAGACAGGAGCGCCGCTGGAAGGTGAAGACAGACGGCCGACTGTACCTGTACCTGTGCTGTCGTCGTACACCACGGTGACCGTTCTCCACTTGAAGAAGTGCACCAGGTCCAGGATGGCTCTACTGAGGGAGGAGAAATCGGGGTACAGGCTGACGTAGTACGAGTCCCGGTTGTCCGACACTTGATGCTTCCATTTGGTCTGCACGTGGGGGACCCCCAAAGCATTACAGATGGATTGGACCGCGTTGGCCGATGAGCTGTGCGAGGGTCCAAAGATGGCCGCCACGCCGAGAGACAGCTGGTCGCACGCTAGTGGGGAGCGACAAGAGGAAGAAGTGACCAGTCAGCTTCATGCTCTGAGTTTTTACAAAATGTGTCTCAACAATCAAACTTAATTTAAATTATTTTCATAGTTTTCAAAAAGTGTCAGATTCTATTCCGGTTTTGCGCTCAAAACATATGGCGACCTCAAAATAATGGCACATACAGGCCGACAAAGAGTTTGATCGGACACAGGTTTTCTGTTTTTGTCTCCACTCTTTGGTTTTTTAATGGTCGATGTACGTAATCTGTGAGCTGTTACAAACATTCAAAAGCAAAACATTTTGGTTTTGCAGAAAAATATAACCTTGTTTTGAATGTTTTGCACTCAAGTGCAGTCAGCCGGATGATGCGTTTCCCAAAAGCATGCGAGCCATATGACTACATTTATTTCCTCATTTCGGAAACGAGCTGTTCCAACTAAAAACATCTGAAAAACAATTTTATATCTTTTATACTATATATTGATCCCAACTCACCTTTCCTGGAGGCTTCAAAGCTGTCGAAGATGTTAATTCTCTGGATGTCATAGGTCAGCGTGGTGTTGGGGAGCAAGGTGCGGTTCCTGTTGATTGTGTTCAATGCAAATTTAAAGGCTAATTCTTCTGCTCCGGAAGGGCCACTCTCAATGGATTCAAATATTCCCCCTGGGGAGCAAATAGAAAAAGTAGCATCTGAGAAAAAGCCCTCACGACAAACAATTCCGTCCCCTGTAATAACAGACGTTTCCTTAACATAATCGCCATGAAGGTCCATTGAGCAATCACAGCTGTAGCCGTGCTATCGTTTCTAAAAAACGGTGCTATTGTGTTCGCGGCTTCACGCAGCTCAGTCTCATGCTGACATAGAACTGATTTACAGTGCCGATAAGGTGTCTGGATCTCAGCTGATTAGCATTCTGTGGCAGTTGTCAGTGTAATTATAGGCATTAGTTACATCGGAAGGTTAGTTCAGGGGTGAGTGCCCTTTTTTAACTCCCTCACTCAGCCTCTGCAGAAAGGTTCACTCCTCCACTTTGCTCCATTGATTTCAGTGAGTCTTAAATAAGGGGAAAGCAAAGAAAGACAAGAGTGCAGGGAGCAGAGAAATGAGGGCAAAAAGAGCAGAGATGTGGAGGAAAGGCGAATCAGAGCCATGGCAGGAAACAATAAGATATGCGACGAGGAGTAGAAAGACAGACAAAGCGCAGGAGAAGGCCAATCAAATCAAGAAACATCGGGGCGCTTTTAATTATACTCATTAAAAACAAATCGTCTCAGAGGTGGAAATAATTATTAATGCGTCATATTTAACTGTTGATTTTTAATGGGAGAGCATCCTGAAGGGAGGCTCATGCTGTGCCTGCCTGAGAAATCTTGTTAACTTTTAGATATATGTGATTCACACCTCGGGATGCTCATTAGTTGTCAACGTAAAAGCCTCTCCAATACAAAAATAAACAATACACACTGTTTCGCCGCACCGCATGATCCAGACGACACAATTACCACCGCGAAGTAAGGTGTCGCCAACTTAAAACAGCTCCTTTCAAAGTTGTCAATTATTTGAACAAAAAACAATAAAGCACCAGATGGTTCAGAATGCTGAACAAAGGCAGGCAACGTTTGTACAGAATACAAATGTGTTACATCTAAAGATTGGGATTGGGTATCATTTACTCATATTAAATTGATTCTCAATCCAAATCAGAAAAAGTTTATGAGGATTCAAGAGCAAGTTTATGTATATATCAATCCATCCGATATACAACTGAGGGAACACTATTTAAGTATTATCATTACGATGATATCATTATAATGAGGTAAATCCGTGGTAGGGATTATTAAAGAGAACATTTCTATGTTAAACAACTGAAAATACTTTTAAACTTTCAAAATAAACACTCGAAAACAAACAAAAATCTGAACAACCTTTGAGGATGGAGAAGATCCTGAGAAAGATTTACAGAAATCTGACTTAAAAGAGAATGAATTACGTGAAAAAAAAAGAAAAAAAAGATGAAAAGCGCTTTGAGAAAACTCTGGGAGTCAACAGCTGAGTTCAGCAGTCCGTCCGACACGCAGCAGGTCTGATGAAACCCCGAAACCGAAAAAAAGAGAAGAAGTTTAAAACCTGTTTATTGATTCGATTACAGAGAGGGAGGCGAGAGAGAAGAAGACTGAGGGATCGAGGCGCTTTTTAAAAGAGCGGAGAAAGAGTGCGAGCCGTGCAGTGATGGACCCAGCAGCTATAAATAGCAGCCGGCCACGGCAGGAAGGAACAGAAGGGGAATGCAGGAGGGAAAAGAAGATGTCATTAACTTGCGTTTTATCACTGTCGCGAGGTAAACCCATGTACTGTGATTCCTTATTTTATGTTATAGCATTTCCTTTCATATCCATTCCCCAGCAGAGAATTGAAGAGGGCGACGAGGAGAAGAAAAGAGGGACGGATGTCGCAGGTGGAAGATGAGGATTCACGGTAAACCTGTTAAGACACTTGAGAAAATGTTTTGTGCTCCACTGTCATTAAGTGATAATAATGAGGTACTCACGCATTGGTCCTTCGCCTATGTAGCAATGGCATGGGAACGGGCCGCCATTCATGGCATTTAATTTCACTGAAATTGTACATTAATCTGGAAAAGAGCGAATACCCCGAGAATCACCATTAAAGATGATTGGAATCGTGTCAGTTTGACCTAATAGATAATTATTGCAGTATTGCCCCGAGGGAGCAGACAGAGCTACACTCGCCTGTTCATTGAGTTTAAAAATGAGCATAAGGACATTAACTTGTCATCATTGGATTTCTTTTCTGTGAGTCTTGGACATGCTGGATTGAATCTAACAGTGAACCTTTGAGAACACACAAGAGCAGGAACACAGTATTCAGCTCACAATATTGTAATCATATTTTGAAGGAGATTTTAAACCACTGCGTTACAGCAAATGTAATGTTTTGTCACTTTTTAATGGGTGAGTTATTTTTGAGGATATATGTTTAAACTGAATCATGAATCTAACATGAACATACAATGTCATAAATATTTATAAATATACTATTATACAGAAATCTATTCATATCAACCTTCTACCAATCCTCCTCCCAGTTGGTGTTGTGCTCCATCTGATTGCAGGTGTGTGAGTTACGGCTGAGAACATCAGTGTGTGTGTGTGTGTGTGTGTGTGTGTGTGTGTGTGAATCATGGTGCCATCATTGGGACTGGTGTGAGTTATAGTGCAAATGAAAGCTCACAGTGACTTATGAGCTGGATAATCACCATGACGGGAAAACAGGCCCGTTGATCTGTGTGTGTGAGACCCGGAGCAGAACGTGGAAAGAAAAGGAAGAGGACGGGCTGCATGTAAATCTGACTTCCTTTCCATTTTTCTTCGCAGTTTTTCATGCAAATATGAATTCAGTATAAACTGACTGTAACTGAGATTATTCACTGATGGTAAAATGTATTCTAGTACTCACATGCTTCTCTGAACAAGAATTCAAACTCACACTATGTTTCCGTGAATTCAGTTCTTTGCAATAACTAGCAGAAAAAGTAAATTCAGCACTAAAAGAAAATACTTACCGAGTAAACCATGAATGAAAATAGAATTAGCCCTCTCCACTCAAGGATGCGCTTGTTCACTGGGAGAGGGGAGTCAAATATGTTGCCATGGCAACTCGTGCATATATGCTATGGCTGAGAAGAATCTGCAGTTTTGTAATCTGGGCAACTGATTGGTGGAGGAAGGACGTTGGGATGGCGCGGACGGCCTGTCTCCGTGACTAATGACCAGCAGTGCAGCTGCAGGATAGTGCTGGGCTGTAAGGCTGGGTGCCATGGCAACCAGCGAGCGACGCCGTCTTAAGGGCAGGTGGCCCAGGTATGAATGGGAAGTAGCTCAGTCGTGCAGGACCTTCACCCACCACCCAAAATCCCTGCAATGTTTCTGCCTCCTTCCGATTTACAGCAAATAAGCGTGGAGCCAAAAGGCAAGAGGCAAAAGTGATGGAAAAGCTCCATAAATATCCCGGATATTCCCTGAAGGGAGCTGTCGCTGACATGTTCGGCAGTGAATGGGACATGATGCATGGAGGCCTGCGGGGAGTCACCGCCCCCGGTCATTAATCTGAAGATCCCCTTGCGGTAGACTGACCTTCCTGTGCTTCACAAGGGGCAAATCTCTGTCATGATGAAAATCCCCAGAAATCTGACTACGGCATGCTATACATCAAGTATGCAGGGTACTTTGTAGTGCGATATCCCACCATCAAACCATTATTCAAAGAAAATCATTAATTATCATTAGTTATTATTAAAAAGGATTTAACATATATTTCAATTTTTTGCTGAGGATTGAAATTTTATTGTACTCTATATTGCACATGTACATGCTTCTTTAATACTGTTAGTGGCAGAGGTGAAACATGTGTATTAGCCTTACACACATATATATAAGGAAAGCATTAAACTTGGTTCATAGAAATATATTTTATAAACTGACACTTGATAGTGATCTCGCTTAAAGTTTAAACGTCAGTTTAAATTAAATACAGAGTAAAATCAAAGGGTGTTATTTACCATGAAATACCAAGGTATAACAACTTCAACAAACCAACAGAGAACAGTTGAAAAGACCAATAAGCGCCACAAAAAAGTGAATAAGTGAGTCATCAATCACTCACATATGTAATCATTCACTCACGTATGGAAGCTGAACATGAAACCATTAGAAAGCAGCTTACGTTCAGCTGTCGTTATCCGACTTGTTTGGCTTTGTTGTGCGTTTTTTTTTTTTCTTTCTTCACCAGGATGCAATCACTCTTGTCCCCCTTAAAGCCTCTTGACGCTGGACTGTCACCTGCCACTGCCGGCGCGTTAAGCCTCAGGCCGAATCACACACCGCGGGCGCACTCGCGGGAACACGCGCAATCGCGCGCTCTTTCGAGATTGAGCGTGAGCAAACCTGCCACGCGAGGAACAGCTGAGTCTTGGGAGAAAAGATGAGTGACGTGAGGATTGAATGCCTTCGTCCCGCAGCCTCCGGAGGCCCCCGACTTCATTAGCGCTCGCAAAAGTCTGCTCTGCCATCGCCAAAAGGTGCATTACATCTCCTTCGATTGTGTGCGTGTGCGGCGCCAGCCGCCCTCGACGCTGACCCCCGCTCCGACCAGCCATCATGTAACACGTATTAATCTCGGAGTGCTGGCAACAGATGTGCAAATTTGCCCGGGCTCTCTCGTTCATAATAATGTGCCAGCTCCCCGCTCAAAAATACGTGCTAATTTGCTAGCGCTCATTGTTGATGTGCGAAACTACCGGCTGACATTTTGTGTGCTAATTTGTCAAGCAGGGACCCCTTTTGGTACTAATTGTGCCAAACTGTGAGTACACTTTCACAGGCCTTGAATTGCGGAAGTCCCAAATGACTTCTCTCTGCTCTCGCAGTTACCAACCTCTTCACAGCTCTCAAATTGCGAATGCAACACTAAAGAAATACTTACCCAAGTGAAAATAAGATGTTGGAGCACTAAGATGCACACGCTCGTTTTCAAACACACTTGAATAGAGACGCCAACACACACACACACACACACACACACACAGACACACACGCACACACACACAGCACTACGCGCCCGCTCTTGAGATTAGATGAGCTCC